GTGTTTAACTGCCACTATGGCTCTTCCGGGCCACAGGTTTTAGACTGAACAGAAGCCAGCTGACTACATTTTAAATACATTTACTACTTGTTTCCCCAGCTTTTCTTTCATCACTTTCCACTCTTATCTAACGGAAATACTACAGATTCTTTCATTGCTGGTGAGAGCAAAACAAATTTTTCCAGTGCTCTCAATTCATTACATGTGTTGTAAATAAACCTGGTACCCAGTGCCATTCCTCCTGCTGACAGCAAGGGTAAGGAACACTGTCAACACAGCTTAAAGAAATTTGACTTTGTACTGAAGATTTTCAGATACCAAATTATTGCCCCCCTTCACAGCAAGCAACCTACCCTGGCAAAGGTTCCTTCAAGGTGCTCAGCCCGAGACCACAATGGCATACTCTTGACTCAAGGAAAAGCAGGTAGGTACAAAGCTGTACGCTGATTTTATCTATCTGATACTTGTCCCTAAAGACTATCTCAAATGTGGATGGGATTCAGAAATGTTAAGCTTTAGGGGCTAAGCCTCTTTCAGCCACAGATCTTCCCCCAGCACACTTCATGCTCTCTTCCATATTCAAACTACTTCTCAAATGTTCAAGTCAAAAATTTGGTGCATGACACACAAGTACATGAAATCTCCAATTTGCACACACATAACTAAAAAACTTTTAATTTTCTATAACTCTTTGATGCAGAACAGTCTTCTGAATTTGCTTCAAGGTGTCTCCCCACTTTGTGGCAACATGTATCTTCCCCCTTTTCAAGGAAAAGGCCTGAAAACTGTACTTCCAACAGATCCATTGCTAAGCTGCTTAGCCAGTTGCTCCCTCACCCATTTTGATCAAAATTATTTAAGAGAGCTAAGTTAAAGTTAAGAGAGCTAAGTTAAAGTGACTTGGAGATCACAAAAAGCAGCTGAGCCAAGAGATGATAGAGGGGTTGTGGGGAAGAGAGATGCAGAGACAGTGCCCACCTTTGCAGTGGCTAGAAAAATTTGTGTCACTCAGCAGGATCTACAGAATGAACTGCAGGTGGTTGATAGAAGCTAGACCAAAAACCATCATCTTCTAAAACGTACTTTAAATTCTTAATCTTTTGAACTGCCTGTGCATTTCTCAAAAAATCCCTTCGTATCATATCAAGGACTAACCAGGTTTAACAAAGGGTTGAAATTCAAAGATGATTTACAGATAAAGGTACAAAGAATGTTACTAAGGACAAAACCAGGTATTCATTTATAATTCTTTCTTTTGTCCCTCTCAAAAGTGTAGGCTACATAAAAAAAATACTCTTCCTTCTCTCCAGACCCACCTAAAGTTTAAATTATTTCTCAACAAAAATCACTTTCAATACCACTATTTACTTTCGCCAGTAGTTAAATACTATTTTACCCTGTATTCTTAGGACCTGTACTGCATACCTTTAGCACGTTCTTAGAACAGCCTTCACCAAAATATTGCATTCATTTTCCATCATCCTCTGAATAAAATTAAATTCTCATAACTCTAGCTCCCAGATACATTTTGTAGATAGAGAGACTGAGGAAACAAATTTGTGTAACATGCTTCTGGACCCTAAGTACCTTTCTAGTTAAAGCCATTTCTCCAGATTCAGTACTTTTATGATGTAGACTGGGAGATTAAATAAAATATATTTTTTTAAACTGAACATTAAGGCAATAGGAAGCTCCTCTAACACTTTTTTTTAAAAATGACACAAGGTAGCTTGTTCAAGGGACTATCTCCAGGTAAGAGAAACAGCCCATGTCCTGAAGTGTCATCGACAGGACATGAGTAAACAGCCTTAGTTTAAGGAAACATTTATCTGAATTCAAAATGGTGCCAAATTTGAGAGAAAAAAAACCCCATGAACTCCCAGGGCTGATCACCTCACACACCTGCATGCAGCTGGAAATAAGCTCTCCTCAATTATCTCCCAATTACCTTACGCCAACACGCAAGCAGCACAGCGAGATGTACCCACTCCTCGGCGGCCAAGCCGAGCGCACACGGGACCGCCGGACGGCACCCGGCCCTGCAGGGCCAGCCGTCAGCAGCTCCGTCCTCGCCGCCGCGGCAGGACGGGTGGAGGGCAACCCGCCCAACGCAGCGGACGCACGGCAGCTTGCTGCCACTGGTACCACAGCAAAGAGAAAGCACATTACAAGGATCTCAAAACCTGGCGCCTAAAGGATACAGAAAAGCTGGTGTTAAGAATGAAGTAACAGTTAATGAGCATTCTTTTTATTCTGGGCACAATTTAAGCTTACAACTGGAGAAAGCGGGTTGTTTCTAAACACCTGCAAATTTCAGTCAATCCTTACGTGGCACTGCAGGGAAATCTCAGTTACTAAGAGGCATCAACAGGAATGCTGTTTCACTTTAACTGTCCTAACACTGTCAAACAAAGCCATCTTACCCACATTTAAGTAGAGACTTACAAATGTCTCACTGAATTGCCATCATGAAATGTTAATAGGGGGAAAAAAAGATTGACTGCCTTAGTACAACCTCTCGTATGCTACTGAAATCTCCAAACAAAAAAAAAACAACGCGTGCTTCAAGGAAGAGATGCAGAAAAATAGACGAGACAAGGGAATTCAAATTCCAAAAAATTAATTTCTTGTATGAACTTCTGCCAGACTAATTTCTAACAGTGACAGAAGAAGCTTAAATTAAGCAAAATCATGCAGTTATTTGGGAAGAGATTAAAATGTTTCTAGTCTAGAAGAAAATGATACAGTGATCAGATAACATTTACTCAAACTATTCAACTCTTCACCAAATCACACTAATTCAGAAATACAATTACTCTCTACAGTGGCCTATCAGAGGAAAGTAGAATTAAGATTAGTTCTAAGAAGTAAAATCAGAAATACAATTTTCCAAAATGCATTCTGTATAATGTTTAATATATTTTAATAGTCAAGCATTAAAATAAGTCCTTTTTTTGGTGCCAGGTGTGTAAGAAAAAAAATCAGCATAAAAGAACTGGCAGAACGTGCTCTAAATCTTTAAAACCAAATAAAGAAATCACTTACATTAGGATAAGGACCAGAGTGATCTCAAGATCACTTTTATCCCCCAAGTGACCTGGCTGTATATCCTACATTAAGGCTATAATCTCAGTCTTATCTATGACTTGCTTAGCTTAATTGCATCATATCATTAATATTATTAATTTCTGCCATTGCCCATAAAAGTCAAAGTCTCATGCCAATTCTGTAAAATATAGCTTGAAACTGATTTAAAAACAGCACACAGTGAGTTGCATAAGACCTTGAAAGTGCTATGAAGCATCAAGCGTGGAAGTATTTTAAAAGACAGAGCACCTATCTTTATTCTTTTGGTCCAAGAAACAAGGAAAGAAAAATGCATGACCAGAATTTGTTGAATGGGTCTCTCAGAGAATGGGGTTTTCAGACATTCTTCCCCAACTTTTAAAGAAGGGCAGAGCTAGCTAAAATGCTTCTGTACCAGTAATATACCGAAATCAAAAGGTGTGCTCAGAAAGCTAGTCCCAAGACCGGTGGGGAATAAAATGCAAAGTGAAGCTTAAGTTACAGGTAGAAGGTAACAGTGCAAAGCGAGCACTGACAATGTACTCTCAGGAGAATACTCCCCCAATATCTTTATAAACAAATGCTGCACCTCGTTAATATTCAGTTTTACACAGACGTGGTTAAATATAGCTGTGATGTAATGCAGAAATGCTGTGGACGCTAATATAAACCTTCCCTCATACTCTACTTTCCTAAAGAGGAAGACTTTAGCTGTTCAACACTGAGCAGCTCAATGATCAACTTTCTTTGAAAACCTGTTGTCCCTTTTTAACATTTTTCTTTTAAACCCAGGTGACCTTCTCCAGTTGTTCTACACCAGAAACATACCTGGAACTTCTAAAATACAGCTAAGAGACATAAGATGTGTCTCCTTCAGTATTTATGCCTTGAGTACTAAAATCTGCCCAACTTTCATACACTGTGTTGATAGAGGAGAACTCTGCTAAGAGACCTTTACGTAACTATTCTTATACTGTGACATATTATTACACAATGTAAACTAATACCTTTTATTTGTCATAAAGGTTTCGCCTATAGATAATCCTCCCTTTATGGTTTTTCAGTGATTAATTCTATCCCTTCACACAAACTTTCAAGACAAACTTTCCAGTACTGCAAGCCCCTGTAAAACACATCAGTTAAGCTCTTACAAGTATGCTGCATGAGCCATTCTTATGTCAGTAAACTCTAGCTGAACAACTTTGAAGCAATATTAGGATCGAATTAATAAAAAATATGATAGATTTCCTCATGTAATATAAGAAAGGTAAAGAAGCCAAACATATATATATACTTTTTTTTTTTTTTTTTAATGGCTCCGTAACACTTAACAGGTCTACCTTATTTGCACAGGTTGCATAAGATACTTCTAAATCGATATTACCAGTATTTCAGTATGGTTTTTAGTAAAAATAGGTTTTGAGGGGAAGCATGACAGTTATACACACGATAAATGAGGGTATTTACTAAAGCTCTTTTAAAACAATAGTGTATTTAAGGATTATGAAAAACACTTTACATGTGTCCTTTTCAAAGAAGACCGAAGTAGTAGTACTACAGGGCAATTTTCAGATGTGATTAGCCATGCTGTCACCTTTGTCCTCATTTAGAAAAGTATATGGCATTGACCACTTTCAATATTACATGAGCATATACCATGCTCAAGATGTATTATATAAGCAAATTGCTCATTTGAATATTTATGAAATAAGCAGTTTGAACAGTAAGTCAGAGTAACACATAACACAACGTAATAGAATTGGGAAGGCTTGGGGTTTTGGGGAGTTTTTTCCTTGGTTGGTTGTTTTTTTTTTTTTTTTTTGTTTTAAACAGGGCACAAAACCCAATGGGGTCTTTAACTGATCACACAATAAAGCTCTTGTGAAAAGTCATCTGGAGATCTGTTCTCTATGAAAATTAAATCTTTGACCTACCTTGAACTGTAAGTTCTGCTTGAGCTTCAATCGTCTCATTTCCGTTATCCGCTGTGCAGGTATACGTCCCAACATCCTCTTCTGTAACATCGATGATCTCCAGGCTGCCTCCCGCCAGCAGAAGATATCTCTCATAGCTGTGCAAAACAGGACATATGGGTGATTTGATGGACAAAAATGACTTAAAGTGTTACCAGGGAAGCACAGAGAGTTCTCTGCCTGAAATGTCTACATAAATTGTTTACATATAGTATTTCTGGGTGTCATTTACAAGGAGCCACATTAGAGAGGAATTTCACTAGATGGTCAAATTCCATACTTTGCCTTCACATTTAAAATTATTTTCAACTATATTAATTCCACACAAGTAGCTCATCTTTTCTCACTTTCAGCTTCAGTTCTTTTTACTTAAATCTAATCCAAGCTATTTAGACAATAGGAACTAAAACTTAAGAAAAGTAAAATAACACAACCATATCATCAAAAAACCCCACCCGCTTTCCAGATACAGCTAGAATGACTTATTGCTTGAAAAGCTAAGTAAACTATAACATGCCAGACTCATGCCTGTACAACGTAAGGAACAGCAATGTACATTGTATAATTTATAGTAATGGAATTTTTGTAAAAAGCTAGCCATTTCCATAAGATGTAAGATTTCCGAGTAAGATACAGGTTAAAGAAATTTCAAAAGACAAACTGTTTGGCAAAGCTTCCATATAGACTTTTCTCCCTCTGACTTGTAAAGGGTGAGGGGAGGGTTTATAATTCAGCCCTTATAAACTCTCTGCTTTTTATGTCAAATGTAGTAGCTAAATGTAACATTTTGTGCTACATGTGGTACCCTCAGCACTCTTCTCCCATTGCAACCATCTTTTCCCTTTTTATGATACAAATTCCTACAAGAGTTTTCCAAGATTCTTCATCACTCCAAGGACGCACAATAAAATGCCAGTAACGTTACCAAGCTGAGACAAGAAATCATGACTGGATGCTGATCCAGAACAACTTTTATTTGCAACTGAAAAAAATGAAAGAGTCTACCTGATGGCTTCCTTTCTGGCATTATCAAGCAATGGCTTAGTGGGCACGAATGGATTGAATTCTTCCAAAATATTAACTGAATAGCACGTTACAACAAGTAACTCCTCTGGTCTCTACAGAGTGGCCAATGTACAGAAATCAACCTAATTTCTTTCTTCATTTGAAATTTTACTAGAATTGTATTATTAGAACCAACGTTCTTACCTGCTTGGAAAGATACATTTTTAGGACACAAAGACTTTTGATTCACCTAATTAACTACCACATTAATACTGATTTTGATACTACTATAATTATTGATCAAATTTCCGATTCAATACATAGAAAAACTGAACAAACAAAATCATTACTGGAATTAAGTGGAAGGAACCAGTCTTAAAAGCACCCAGGGAGATGTCCCACCCAGGTATACCGTAAAGAAAGCAATCCGTGACTTAGTAACAGAAGGACTACAAAAAGTTGTTTTGTAAGAAGTGCTGGAATTTGAGTGAAGTTATAAATATGTTTGAAAAAGTGTACTAGGAGCTTTAGAAAGAGGAATACCTGAAGAACAAGTAGGGGAGTAGGTAAAGAGCATTTCAAACAGGTTCTAGCTAAGAGGAAAACAGCAAGGAATTTGTCATTAAACCTTTTTCTGGAATGCCCAACAGCGGTTCAAGAACAGAAAGTAAGAAGATGAGAAGATACATCTTGGATTATTTTGATAGTATTTTTATTGCCATCGCTGCCAAAAAAGGCAGAAGCCTCCTAGATCAGATGAAAAACTAATAGGTAAAAAAAAAAAAAAAAATAGGAATTTTAGTGGCAACCAGAGATAGTAAAGGCTGATCTGTCTCCCATCTCAAGCAAGATAAATCCGTACAAAGGAGATGTGAACAGTAGCTGCCAAAACTGTATCACTTTTTTTTTTTCCTCCCCCTCTTCTCACACTTTCTTGTATTCTATTTACCTGTATTCTACCCAGGTAAATTTATTAGATTTAAACCACGCAAGTCTGTTGAAGTTAGCACAAAAAAACCTGAACCTAGAAGTCTTGGACTAAACCACCTCCAAGGCAAATCTGACCATCTAAGAAAGTTCTAAGACCATCTAAAAAGATCTTAAAAAACGGTGCTCTTCCCAATTCTTGAACCTCTTTGTCTGCATCTGGACATCAACAGTCCACAAACACAGAAGAGCTCTGCAAAGGTTGTCAACGTGAACAGAAACAGTGTTATTGAAGCTTATTTGTGAGACTGGCACATTAGACTTGTTAAGGCTGCCCTAAAACCACGCCTAAAAAAAAAATAATTAAGACAAGTCTGGACCTTGACACATCCACATACGTGGTTTTGTATCTCCTTTTATTATGTAAAATAGATTCTTTGATTATTTGTTCTACCATACATGATGAATTAAATTAATCCAAGTAGCATATAATCTGCTGATGGATAAAACGGAAGCAGAAAGAAATGGGAGCCAATTGGTAAATGTGTTAGATCCAGCAGTGACAGACAGGATACACAACAGGAAGGAAGGCCTGAAAGAAAGGACTGACTGGATGCAAGAAGCTGAGACTAACAAAATCGCAAAGGAATGATAAAAGGGTCTACAGAATGTTAGTGTAATTTTGATGGAATATAGTGCCTTTTTCTGGATATCCACCAACCTGCATCGTTATCCATCTAAAAAGCAACACGTGCCTTAACCATCACGTTCCCATTGCCAGCCACTGGGAAGTGAAGTAACATGGATGGTGAGCAGCAGACTACTGTGGTTACTCACCAGCGATTAAGATGTTACTAAAACTATTAAAAATTACCTGTTATTGTCACATTAGGCAGCAAAAGTTTGTCTTCTAGGATCTCACGCTACTTGTAACATGGTGGCATTTACATGAATTCTCCTTTTTGTCAAGAAATAAGGTTATATAGTTTTCAGCCATCAAAATCACGTGCTATGCTTTTATTCTCTTTGATTATTTGCCTCAAGGAAACGTAGAGGAGAGTCTAGAATTTACCAACACATGATCCAATACAAGTTCACTTCATGGTTAAAACCATGGAAGAAAACAATTCACTTGTCAGCCTCCTTGGTGATTCCTTCTGTAGGCATTAGCTGTGGAAGAATTCTGGGCTTAAAGCAAAATTGCTTTCATAATAAAGTAAAAACATCTTAATTTTGTAGGGACAACAAAGCATTTCCACAAAAGAGTGAAGCAATCAGATTTCAGACACTGGAGACAAAGAATCAGCTTAATATAAAACTGATAACGTAATTTAAATTGTCATTAAAAACAACGAAGATTGATCATTCAAATGTCAGGGAACGGCAAAATCAAATTCAAGCCTTTTATATGCATTCCATACAGCCCTCAGTTACACACACATAATATACAATTACTTGAGCTGCTTTGGATACCTAACTCACATGCTTTTTTGTGCTTCATTATCACAAAATAGTGAGCCTTTATTAATTTATTGTATTCAAACAACCAGTTATACCCTGAGGTGTTGGCCTTTTTTTTTTCCCTTCTCTTAAATTACTATTCCCAAAACATCTTATAATCTATTTGCAGTCTTGGTAAAGTACAGCAGATAAAATTAGACAGTAAATTAGATTATTTTGTGGAATCTACTACCAGAAAAATTTCCATAATTACTTTGCTATGTTGAACCTTTACTGAGTTGGGCAAGTGTAATTCACTTAACACAAATCGCTCAGAGTGCCTGGCAAACAATAATATGTAATAATTAAAAATATCACACATTCATGTTAAGTATTAAGGTAAAAACCCGATACTAAGAATACGTATGCGATCATACAACTAAAGACTTCATTTGAATGCATACAGCAATAGCATAAAATTAATGCTGCACATGCAACCTCAGCTTTGTAATCTCTTCACTTTAGAAAATTATTAGCCATACAACCACGTTTGAGTTTTCTGTAGACATTTTTCAGTGACATAAAATTTCGCTAAATCGAACAGCCCCAAAACACCAGTCAGCTGTACTTCAACAGCCTTATTACAATATAATGTTATTGTTCAGGGTCCTTTCAATTGGTTATTTTCAATTTTCTGTAGCTTTTTAAAGAATTTGTGGTACATGCATTTGTAATTTCTTCCATATAAATATCCAAATATAAATCAAGATACACTAGATATGCTGTTTGAGCACATACTGATCCACACACTGGAATGGTTTCAAAGAACATCATCTTCCAAACATTTGAAACTTTGTGCCCATTTGCCACGTGAAAATTTATCCAGGCAGCCACCTCACCTGAAACTTCACTCTTCAACTTCAGAATCCTCAAAACCACAAAATTACTCCTGCATTCACTTAAAAACAGACCTTCACACAGTAGAACCCCTAGCCAGACATGATATTTAAAAAAAAAAAAAAATTACAAAAGGCTCGAAGTTGGCAAAACCTGAGAAACTACTCAAGCTGTATATAACATTTTCACTATAGCCTTTTACATAAGGTCATATTGACAATAAGGCAGATTTTATTTTAGAAAGTTTTCTGCAAGGAACAATTTTTATTCAAATAGCTGTATATTTCAGTGGCTTTTCTTACTTCCTTCCATTTCTGTCAATATTTCCTATGTTCCTAGCAGAGACATCACTCATTCTGAGTTTACAGATGGAATCCAGCTGAAAAAGTAGAATCTATATTCACATTACTGAATCATATGTATAGCAGGGTAGGTAGGTGTGCATTCTATAGTACCAACCTTAAACGACTACGAGCAATATACCCTATATCACAAGATTATACACACACAGATTCATAGAAGTCTAGAGGCTCGCTTCGCATTTTAACGCTCTGGTTTGGAGCTACAAGCACCAGCACCATAAATCTTAACCCAGAACTGGGTTTAGCCTTTTGCCTTCTTTTGAAGCAGTGTAGTTTTGAGAAAATTATTACATATCATCAAGATTACCTGCTTGACTAGTAAGCCAATTCAGTGAAAAGCTTTCATCACAAGTCAAATATTTTTCCCAGTGCCAGGTTATCAGGTCAAATTTTCAATTTTGTGATTTTTTTTTTTTTTTTTATCTCTGAAATAGTGAACACAGTAAGAAAGGCCTCAAAGGAGCTGACCAAAGCCAGACAGCAATGCCTAGAGAAGGGCATACGGCAGGTGCAAGCATACAGACACCCTTCCTCCTCTTCAGCTTCTGAGGGCTGAGACCTCCTCAAGACCAGGGTGGAACCTGGGTATTTCATAGTTTTTGATGGACTCTCTAGGAGGAACCAGCAAGTCAGCAGTAACTATTATTTATATTTCATTAAAATCTTCAAGTTAACAAGTTCTGAAACGATTCCTTGAAGTTGTAACAGTTTTACTACAATGGAAACTTTTATCATGGCATTACCTCCACCAGTTTCTCACTCAGCACTCAAAGCTTCCTTTCTCTTTTACCCAAAAGAGTTTGGAAAATATTTTATCACAGCAAGCTAGTTTCCCAATATATTGCATTAAATATTGCTTGTTTGAACAAGTGCCAGGACTGTCATCATTCAAGTTTACTCATATTTATCCATTAACATAAACCTTATTGCAGTCTTCGACAAATATACCATCAAAACTACACACCTTCCCTTTTTTCTGATCTTATAAGAGGTATTTATTTCCAAAGCCCATCATTCCCAACCCTGAAAAGTAACTTATTTTTCTTATAACTACAGGCATCTATACACTTGGAAGGAACACTTTTAATTTTGTATTAGATTAATACAAAGACAACTTGACGCACAGTTCAGAGGGATTTGTACTTGTGGCGAAGGTCAACCAGAATCCATTCTTGTAACAAAGGGACATAATACTAAAAATTAATGCTAAATATTCTGAAATATCTGGTCATACGTGGTTCAAATCATGCACATACTAAGTTCAAATATGTTTACTAATGTTATGCCTCAGCTCTTCAATAAAATTTCTCACTGAATTTTGGAAAAAAAAATATTTTTTTGAAGCCCTCAGAAGTTATCATGACAACCTGCATAGAAAAGCTCATAAAGGAATTAACAGCACTGTATTCAGAGCAGGATTTTAAAGTTTGGGCTCCGTAACAAAAAACAAGAAGCAAATAAAAAGGAGATCTCTTTAGTAAGTGAGCTTTAACCTCCTTGTGCACTGAATGTGACATAACCTAGAGAAAGATGGGGCGGTAAGGCAGCAAAAAATTTATAAAGATATGACATCATTTTACATACAGGAAAAACAAATTAAGACCTTACCAGGCACATGTATTCTGACATTTCATCACATCTGATCGTGCAACTCTAATGAGTCTGTACCATCCTTCGTACGTGAATGATTTCTTGTATTTATGAAAAAAATGAATCTAAATCATGTGCCATCAGATTGACATCAACACAATTTCTCAGTAGTATTAGAACTGTTAGTCATTACCTACAGAAGCTTGCATTTTCCTGATAAAGACAGTTCAAATTATGAGCCCCTGGACTTTTTTAATTTAAGAGTTGACAGAAAAGAGATGTATTACTATCACAGGTATTGTGGAGAGACTGGAATATTCCTTTAGCTGCTTTCTGTGTCAGCCATGCCACAACATAACTATACCTCTCATTGCTTCACAAATAACTTGTTTCTACATTAATCTCACCACCGACTTCAAGGGACACAGAGAACATTCAAGTATCCGTTTGTAGTTTCCTTGTTCTAATAAGTACGGTCATTACATGAACCAAAATTTTCTTGATATTTGTTCTGTTTTCTTACACATATTCTCTGCCACATTATTTTGAATGAATACACCAGCAATAACAACATATAATAGTTTTCACTTAATGCATTCCTGAAAGCCCGTAATTTTTTCTAATCGTGCCTAACATCTTAGTATTCTGTTTTAATGAGAAATTATGAAAGTCTCCTTTAAACCCTTCTTCTTAAATTCTTATGGAACATTTAGACACATACTGGACACTTTCATTGCAGAAAGAGCGATGTGACTGCAGGGCTTCATACACGTAATATGCCAACATGAAGAAGTCTTAGCTTTTCTGCAGTGTCCTTATTCCCTTAATTGCTTCTTTTATTCCAGTGGCAATCTAAAGGTAATGCATTCTTAATAACCTTCTTGCTTCAAGTAAGATTTCTTCGTTTCAGATGTCTGCAAAAAAATACTATGAGATTGTTCCACAAGTCTCACGAACTACCTTACTTGTCGTAACACTCTGCCGAGAAGCCCTCCAGCATTTGAAGACTAGCTTCTGTTCTCCTGGTTTAAAATTAACTAGAAAGCAAATTGTGCACTAATTTAAAATCGTAACTCTGGCTGAATTCCTACCGTTATATAAAAATATATATATTAGCCATTACTCACCTTTCCGTTATAAGCTCTTCTTCATTTCTCGTCCACCTGATATATGGAGTTGGAAATCCTGAGGCAACACATGGAAAAACCACACTTTGCCCAGTAACTTTAGTAAGTGAAGAAGGCTGCTTCACAAACATCAAGTTCTGTGGCACCTCGGGATCTGCAAATAGTTTGTAAATGACAAAGCTGTTACTAAATTCAGAATCAGAAAATGCTCGTATTAAGAAAAAACAAATTAAACCTCTACTTTCTTTCCTGCATCTTTACCAGATTCAGCCAACATCTTACCTACATAAACCGTTTTCTGCAAGAGACCCTCCCAGCCTCCCACGTGAACAGCTCTTTACCATTTCCTCCAGACATGCAAGCTGATTTGCCACTACTGGGATTCTGACTCTTCAAACTCCCGGGGAAATAATTTCAGCTAAAAGCTACAGCCCTGAAACTGGAAATACCACCAGCTAGTAAAGCTTTATCAAAGAAAGGACTTTGTCCAGTCAACCTCAGGCAATCACCTGACTTCACTGGGTACCTGTCTGAGAAAGTGCTTTTACACACTGGGAAATTAAATTACTGCAGCAAAGAATCAACCCTAAGGAAAAGAAAATAACTAGGTAATTTGCACACTGAAGTAACACAAGCTTTATACTGAAACAAAAATAGACCACAGTTTCCCATCCTTATGAAAATGGTGAATCCTCTGAATTAGTTTTGGTTTTGCTTTAACTGTGCTGGAGAGGGTTTTGATTCTTTATTTCTCCACCCCTTAAGAACAAGCAACAGCAAAGTTCATATTTGTTCAGTCTTCTGTCACAGGAGATGGCCACTTTTACTATAAGAATTGAAAACATACCCACCAGTAAAGTCTAGTTCAGAGTACACTGCTGGACAAACTACAACAACTAAACATTAAGAACAAAAGGCTGTTTTCCACTTTAGTAAAAATATCCATGATTCCTCAAAGTGTAACCTTAGGAAAACGGTTCTAAAAATCAATTTTAACTAGAACTGTAACCAATTCATCAAGGGACCCCTGTAACACCTTGATAAATGATGCAGTTTGCACCCTTTGTTTCTGCAGTAACTAGCATGCGCCTTGCACTATGAATTGAAGTGAGTTCCTACATACCAGCTACAGCACTTCTGCCATGTTAGGATACCTCTTTCTGCTAACTCCTCAAACCCTCCAGCATTTATGCTGCATTAATTACTGTATTCTCATTACTCAGAGGTGTGCTTACAAGTTTGATGACAGGTAAATTCCAGAACCAGACAAGCCCACAAATTATTTTTGGCCTAAATAATGCCACCTAAATGGAGGCAGACTATTCTGTACCTACGCTACTTTTGCTCTCTGAAGCACATCCTGTGTCTTATCACACAAGTATTTGGCCCCTGTCTCAGCTGAGACCTATGTGATACTTGCAGGAAATTCTGAAAGTTGTTTGGCTTGGTGTTCTTCAGCTCGAAGTGCTAAAAATAATAACTGAGCGTTTACAGCACTAAGTTAAGGACGTGCATGTGTTTCAAGGTATAACACGATGAGGTTGCCAGGGTATTTAAGAGAACCAGGCCCGACAGAAAATCATGTTTTAGAGTTGTCCCAGGCAGAAGCAGCCAAACTGGGAGCAATCCTGGATCACACCATCTGTCTCAGGCCCACACACAAACTATCATAGCAGCTCTGCCCACGTTCCCTGTCAGAGGGAACTAGTCTGCTTGCTCCAGAAATAAGACCATGTGTGAACAGGCGGGTAACACAGTGAGGGTGACCTGGAGCAAGCCAAGTTGCAAGAAAATGGATGTAACAGATTGCCAGCAAGCAATCATTACACTGGGGAGGAGCTGGTATGATTCACTGGAGACAGAACTCATTAATGTTCCAAGCTCACAAAAAGTAAGTTCAATTCTCAGGTTAGTAGAAAGTGGATCCGAAAATTTTGTGGTTTTGGTTTGGTTTTCCCTCCTCCCTTGAATTCCTATATTATATTTGAAAGCACCTGCTATCAAGCAGCAGAGTTCAGAAATGTATCCTCTCGCTTGCTCAGTGGCAGACGAAAGGCAGATTGAACACTCTACAGAAGCTCTCTATCAGAAAAAGTAGGACATTGTCCATGGATGCAAATCTGTGTTGGGTGTAGTTCAAAGACTTAGAAGCAGAGCAGGGAGGTCACTGTCAAGCACATATCAGATAACAATTTAAAAATGGAATAAAATGAATGAAGAACAGATTAATTCAAATCCCTCTTTTGAATACATCTCAGACCAAACAATCAATTATGCGACCAATCAAGGTTTAGAGAGCTTTCTGTGCAACTGTTTAATCCCACTTTAAAAAATGAAAAATTTTTAAAAAGCCTGCTGGGAAGGATTTCTCAACTTTGCTATCAGTACTTTCAGACTCACGACCAAGCAAGGCAACACTACCATCTATTCCCTAATAGAGTTACCTTTAATCACCTTTAGCAAAAGATTATAAAAGGAAGTAAACTGTATCTAGAGCCAAAAGAATTCAAAAGATCAACACCACATGGAAGTTTATCAGGAAATCTTCAATTGACAAAAATCAGAAAAGTCGTAAGCATTCATTTGAGGAGCTATAGAAAGGTGAAGGCAAAACACTAAAATAATTAAGTATCTTTTCCAAAAGTGTTCCTCTTCAAAATCTGTATCCTTAGTTGAAAAAGAGATGAGCCTTTCCTTTCAGACATTCCAAAGAAATTAATGAAACAAATTCTTACTTTAAGCATGATTAATTTGCAAAGCCTAGCAAACACATCAATTTTAAATGAGGGAAGGTTGCAATTGTAAAATTGGGATATTTTAAAGTACATTTTAGCTTTTCAAATATAGAAGTGGCATAAATAAAGAGAAACAGAAGTATTTCTTGAAAGAGACCTCCAAAGATGCCCAGTGAAACCACCTGCTTGAAGACCACTTGTTGCCAACACTAGGTCAAGCCAACCATGACATTGCCCAGCCTAGCCCCAAAAGCCTCCGAAGATGGAAATTTAGCAACCCTCTCTGGCAGTTCTCCAAACAGTAAAAATCAAATCAGAATACCAACACGAAGACTAATTCAGAAGAAACGGCATGAAGTTCTGGAAATAATTAAGAAAAACCATACAAAACACAGCCCACATTTGCCTAGTTTGGGAAAGTGCAATTCACATTCCTGTCTTATTCTTGGTCAATTTTCAAAACTTTGTGTTAGAACATCTGGTGACACACAGCTCTGTGCAGTAGTGTCATTCGAAACAGAACACACTAAATGTAGAAGCAGTTTACATCAGGACTGGACTTTTGTTCTTATTAAATAAAAAAAAAAAATCTAAAACACTTCAGCACAATAGGCATAGCTAAACCTTTCAGAATAAAAAGTCATCCCCCTTTTTGATATCTTGAGACTGCCCCAAAAAAATCCAACATTTAAAGAATTGGAACTTCCTAAATATTGGGACAATTAAAAGGGCCTTACTTTAACCATCCCAAGAACAAAGGACTAATCACCAATTTCTTTTGGAAACTTCAACAGCATTTTAAACACTGTATTCAAGCCTGAGAAACTTTGAAATGCTCAAATGTTTATACTAAAAGAAACGGTCAATTCCCTCTTTGTAACATGTCACAACAGAAGTCTGTTACTAGTGGCTTTTTTAAATACATCTTTTCCAAAAAGGCCTTAAAAGTTAAACCACTAAATATGGCAAAAAAGTATGTGCATATCTATGGCCTATCTCCAACCACTGCAAAAGCTCAGACACTGGTAACTGATTTTGTTTTTCTGTTTCCCAACTGCAAGATATAGGTCAGTCTTCCCAAGAGCCAAAATCCTTTAGCTTAAGTGCCTGTACTTATTTTAAGCTACACAGAAAAAAAAAATAATAAAATAAAAAACAACAACAAACTAACAACAACACAACCCCCAGCTTCTACACCACACTTTAGTTCAACTTAAAATATACTTTTAAAAATGCAACAGTAAGTAAGTATTCCTGTTAGGTTTCTTCTCCTATTGTTTGACTAATGTTTTAACTATTAATTTTTTAAATTAAAAACAGATCAATACCTGGAAGAATTTTGAGCTCTGCTTCGTCACTGTATTTGGGGGTCCCACCACTTTCAATGATGCAGCGATAGAGTCCTCCATCCAGATCAGTAGCATTGCTAATAATTAGAGCACCACTCGGTAATTTAAATACACGATCATCCAGAAAGACTGGCTGGCGGTCCTGCTCCCACCTCACAAACGGTGCAAGGTCAATATTGACTTCACAGTTAAGGATTGCACTGTTTCCTTTATAGACAGATGATGATTCTGGCTGACTGGTGAACCTGGGAAGGCCTGCAAATAGGAAATAGGAAAGTTTAAAACAGTAGCAAATTAGAAGTATTTTGAAGATGACACCAAAGCTTTGAAGTCCAAGTCAAGATTCATGAGTGCAGTTTTGAAAAAATTAAGCTGCTCTCCCCAACTCTAAACACCTTAACATTTGATGTCATAATGCTAAACACAGCTGGTGTAAAGGCAAGTAAAATCAATAATAAAAGTAGCAATTTAAAAACAAAGGTAGTTTTAGAAACAAGCAAATGTCGCCAACAAAATAGAAGACTTTTGAGTCTTCAGAAATGGGAGGAAACATGCAAGTAAACTCTGCTCACTTTGCCAGTGTTGCTGCTATCCTTAAGTAGTATATAGCGTGGAAATGGCAAAAAATCAAGATAGTGTCTCTGCCTGGTACATCTGAATAAATACAGTCTGAACCACATTCTGTAAGAGCTACTGATTTACTTGCAGTGGAACACAGATACCCTCTAGTACTCACTCAGGAGATAGTAACAAGGAGAGAAGTTTTTCTGTGCCTTCCACTCTCAAGTTTAGTCTACACAACATCTTAATTTACCACTTACAGCTACAGAAAGCCTTACGCATACCACCATAAGGTAAAAATTGCATTTGTTCATACGCAAGTATTTATCTTTCTCATGCTAGTGCACCTGAGAACTGAGTTTCTCCACAGCATAACACAAAGCTACCACTGCCAGGTCGGCCCGGCAGTGCTGCACAACAAACTTGTCACCTTTTGAGTAGAAATGTTCTCCAGAAATACCCAAAGGCCACTGAACGGCTTCATGTTTGTTTTGGGTGGCCATGTAACGGTGGAGTCAGTGGGGGAGCTGCCAAGGTGGCCTCTGTGAGAAGAGGCTGGGGACTCTCTGCACTGGACCCCGTCAGGGCCGGTTCCAGCTTTCTCCATGGAGGCCCCACGGAGGCCGCAGCTGAGCCAGGCGGCGAAGCTGGCGGCACCTCTGCGAAAGCGTATCGAAGAAAAGGGCAACGGCTGCACGGCAGCGAGGAAAGCGTGAGAAACAGCCCTGCAACAGGCAGGTCAGAGCACGAAGAGGGAGAGGAAGAAGGGCAGCTCCCGGAGCCGCCCTGGGGAGACCAAGGTGGAGCAAGAAGCAGAAGAAATGGGAATGAAGGTGGGAAGTTGAACCTGGGAAACGGGAAGAGGGCAGGGAGAGGTGGTTTAGTTTTTGTCTTTGTTTTCTTACCACCCAACTTGATTTTAATTGACAAGAAATTAAAGTCATTTTCCCCAAGTCAAGGTTGCTTTGCTCGTTACAGTAACTGATGAGTGATATCCCTGTCCTGATCCACAAACATTTTAATACTCTTTTCTCCCCATCCATCCTGTTGAGGAGCGGACTGAGAAAGCAGCTGGATGGGCAGCCAGCAGTCAGAAAAGGTCACCCCACCACAAGTATTCTGCACAACTTCCCACAGAAGGAAGTACCAGATCTTCCAATAGAAATATCCTATCCACCGTCACTGGTGTAAGCAAATGGTTCAATAAAGGCCACAGAATACAGTATGGTGGAAGAAAGATGACAAAGCATGGGACAGGAAAAAGAAAAGCCCCCTCACTCTCCATTTTCCATGGTGGTTAGCTACATTATCAGCTCTCCCTTTCGCAGCTTGCACAGAGGCAGCTGTGCATCAACACTGGCATGGGGCAGGGCACAGCTTGCTCACTGCACAAAGTAAAATTTTCATATTTTTTTATGCTTGCACTTAAAACTAATATTGTCATAGAAACAGCTTGTCAGTACTCTTGACATCTCATCTTTCCCTCTCAACAGCACACATAGCTTCAAGTACATGATATGGTTTTTTTTTTTTCCTTTAAAGTCAGTATACTGTGTGCCTTCAGTATAAAAGATGAAAACTGGAACTCTGTTGCACAACTTAAACCATCCTAGTATTCAAGAATGAGAATGGAGTCTGCTGGTAAGCAGCAGGTTCTGGTAACCTCTAATTCAGTGCTAGTGCACACAGCCAAGACCCCAGATCAGAAAACACAAGCACAAGCTCTTTTCACAGGTGATACCGCACAGTCACAACTATACATGAATGAGGGCTGGCACAGTTTAGGTCAGCTCTCACCTTTTCCATTTCTTTTAGCAAACCTAAAGGTGAGAACTCCTTATTTATTCTCCTACATTTTCAAAAGCTTGACCTAAATGGAAAAATTGTCATCTATCACTTATGAAGTTAAATCTTTTACATTGTTTCAGACACTCACTTCCAAACAGTTCAATTCCATTTTTAGAAGTCTCAACACTTCTCAAAAAGGCACTGAGAATTTAACAGTAGTAGGACCAATTTTTCTGTATTTTTTAATGTATTTCCTAAACACCTACTTCAGTGCTTTTCAATTTTTTGCTTTAAAAAAGTATAAGCAGCAATCACTCAGACCAGGGACTTTAACTTGATGTTGAAGTACGCGAAATACCCATGGATAAAAAGTACTGCATGGCTCTTCAATGTGAAGGGTGGAAAAGGGATGGACAAGTCATCTACCCCTTGTGCCTCAACTGCCTAGTAAAGTACATTACCATGTGCTGCTTATCAGTTATATACTGGTGCCAAAACTCCCCGTCCTGTAGTTTTCTCTGTCCTTATTCACTATCTTTGACTGCCTAAGAAAGAATCTCTAACATGTATTTCTTCAGTTAAAGGGCACTTTCTATCATTTTCAGCTTGAATTCCTATCCACTTTTCAAGAAAATCCCACCAGTTTTTTGTTTTCTTTAAACTGTCTGATCTTCACTCTCCAATTTTTGTAGATCTTTGGAAAAGCAGCAAGAAGCAACATCTGATGTCACATGTTCAGACTTTTCTCACTCAAATGAATAACTTCTTGGACTGTAGAATTGTTCATTATTAGCACCCACATAAGTGAAAATTTTAATACATACTTTTCATAAAGCTTTTATATAAATTTCTCCCATAGAAAAGTAAGTCTGAACCAGACCAATGGCACCAACTCCAGTGCTCTGCAATCAAACCCAACCACATAAGAGATTTGAGTAAACCCACAAAACACTATCTTCACATCCTATATTAAACATAAAAGACCAAAATCCACAAATTATCATGTGCCACCACGTGAAAGATCAAAAATGTTAATGCAATGAGGAGCAGCAGCACACCTGCTTTAGAGTTGTGGCTAACCTCTGATGCTATAGAATGAAAACCAACTGAATGTAAAAACACACACATAATTGGGAAGGGGGTATAAAACTATAAACTTTCCCAATCCTTCAGAATAGCTGGACTGAATGCTAACATATTACTTCTCTAACATATAGATCAATTCTGTTTTGCCAAGTAATTCCTCCCATAACCTTGTACAGGTCCATCTCCAACCGTTACATGCTTTCTCCCCTCTTGGAACACTATTTGGAAGCTCCTTCCACAACTTCATTCCTCTGAGAAGGAAGTTTATAGTTTCCCCTCCCAGTGTATTTACAACAAACTTCTCGTCTTTTTATCTTGACCTTGTTCTCGTATTAATTATTTTGCATCTTCGATATTTATCCATTACTGCCTCCCTCTAAGGTATTCAGAGGAATAAAAATCAAAGCTTCTTTCAACTTTCCTTCTGCTTAATGAAGATACAGTCTTTCGTTTCTCTTCCTCATTTCCCTACCCACCCATCTTTAAAGACTCAGAATTGCAAAATCATCTGGGTAGGAAGGGACCCGGTCAGAGCAGAGGCAGTTACAAAGTCTGAGCAGGTTACTCAAGGACTTCTCCAATCAAATCTCGAAAATCCCCATGGATGGAGACTGCACCACCTCTTGGGCAACCTGTCCTACCACATGACTGTCTTCACTGTGCAGAACTTCCTCCTTAAATCCAGGCAGAACCTCTTTTGCTTCAACTGATATCCAGTGCCTCTTACTCTCCCACCATGCAGAACAACAAAGAGACAACAGACAAATTGAAGATTGCAAATACCCACAGAAATAGAACAAAATTGCTTCTCTGCATCTATTGAAAAGATCTTCCAAAAAAAATGTAACAATCACATTTGCTGTCTGGACACTGGCAGGTTATGACCTATCCTGTGGATTATAATCCACCAACTAGCCTTCTCCCCTCTTATAAAATCACCAGTACCTCTATACCAAGAATACTGTTGTATTTGCCTGACTTTGCGCACTGTGCTAATAAGTTTCATCATAATTCACTCTATAGCATTATTTAATTCCTCCTGTAAAACCATCAAGGCCACAGCAGGAGTAACAAGGTCTCCTAAATTTGCCACACTTACTACTTTTGTAGGTAAATACTTTGTTTTTAAAAAAAAATGACTGATTAGGACCTTAAACATGATCTTTCTAAACTCTAGTCTGAGGCATCTTTCCATTCTGAAAATCTCCCTCTCAATATAACCCATTAAATTTTCATGTTTACCTTAGATTCTTACCAATCTCCATATTCTCATTTAGATTTCTATCGTTTTGACCTTTGGTAATTTCTACTGGGAAAGGCTGTGTTGCGGCATGCCCATCATATTCTAGTGCTCCAAGGCATCAGTTGCTTCACCAAGAAGCTCAGATGCAAACCGTGGACAAAAGTCACGTTACAATCTAGCCTTCTTTCCACTTCCCTCTGTCTTAATCACCCTCGCCTTCAAAATCTTTTTAAAAAGGGCACAGTGTTGGGATCAGACTAAATGGTCTATGACCACCCCTTGCCTTTTTGGACACACATTCTACAACAGTTATTCTTCAAGAAAAGTGTAATAGCCCCTGAATTCACAATTCATTATAAATCTCTGAGACCTGCATATTAAGCCAACTCTTTCACCAGCCTGGAAGGGAGTCCTGGATCCCCTCATGTTGTAAGATGAGCACTGTGACTTCTGTTTTCACCTCAGCTGTCGCAGTCTCTTTACCCTGTACAACTACCACTTGGTACAATCATTACATTGGCAACTTACAGCGTAAGTGAGAATGTTATTGGAAGACTAAAGTCCTGCAATTTCTAAC